ACCTTAAAAAAAAAATCCCCTTTGCCTCCTCCCCCACTCCCTTTCTTAAGAGCCACACATTTTTTTCCCCCTCCAAGTTTGCTATAGAGCATGTGTGCTCACTGGGGAGAGAGAAATCACCTCCCCACCCCCTGCCAGGGGAGATGGCCATGCAGCAGTCTCTTCTCCTCTTGGAATTTTGGGTACACAAACACATCCTGAATGATTTTCTTTCTTTTTTGTTCAATTAATTACTTCTTTTTCTTTTTTTTTTTTTTTTTGAGAGATTTTCGCTATAGGGCGCGTGCGCTTGCCAGACAGACAGAGAGAGACTTAGAGACAGAAAGAGAGAAATCACCCCCCAGGGGAGATGGTCAAGCCGCAATCCCTTCTCCTCCATTCTCCTCTTGGGATCTTGGGTATGCACGCACACGCGCCGGGCGGGAGTTTTAAGCCACTGGGTCCGGGACACGAACCGCTGTCAACTACGTGGGAGTCCAGCTACCTAGCCATTACACTAACTGCTGGTTCCCCAATTAATTACTTCTTTAATTTTATTTATTTATTCATTCATTCTTAATTTGAGCAGAGAAAGACACAGAGAGTGATAGAGAGAGAGAGGGAAACTGAGAAAGCAAGCCACCAGGTTCGGGACTCAAACCATGACCTGCCACGTGGGAGTGTCCAGCACCTTAGCCACCATGCCTCCTGAATGATTTTCAAGCTTCCAGGTTCAGGAGTCAAACTACACATTCAGGGATCCAGTGGGCTTAATCTCCACAACACCTGTTGGCCCAATAGCCACACCTTTTAAGTGATGTGACAAGAAATTAAAAAAAAATAAATAAATAAGGCTCAAAGATTACGATAGTGAAAAATTAAGAGACTTTCCCTGACCTTCTTTTCTTGTTTATGCTTGCTTCCTCCAATTCATTCTATTCCTACCCTGTTCCTCTCCTAAGGATCTGATATCACAGGTACCCCAATCCTATGAGCTGCCTATTCTGGGACCAAAGAGAGGCAAATGAGGAGAGAAGAGGGAAGCATGCCAGATGACCACACCTTCAACTGTCCATCTACCATCACTGTATCACAAATTTCCAACCTTTAACTTAAAGGAGACAACTTTTGGATTGTCTGCCAAGTCTAAGCCATCCTGACTCTGCCTCTGCCTCTCTCACCTAGGGGAGTGGACCTTGGATAGATGTGTGAACTATGTGAACTATGTTTCTTTTCTAGGATTCTGAACTAGATTCACTATTCGATTCTTTTTGATTGGTGTCTACTCCCCAATGATTACTGAGGACATCATATGTTGGTTTGAGGGCTAAGACTACTTTAAGAGCTGAAATTTTGTCCTACATACATATAGAGAAAGGCAAAAAATAAACATGGGGCCAGGAGGTAGCATGGTTAATAAGGTGGCTGTATTCCATATGGCCAACTGTATGGTTTGAGTCTAAAAATACACCAGGCACATGTACATGTTGCCCACCCCAGGAGGAAAATGAAGGAGAAGAGACTGTGGCATGGTCATTCGCCCTGGAGGTACTTTCTCATTTTCATTCTCTCTATAGCAAATATGAGAAAGAGAGAAAGTTTTAGTCCCTTGGGTTCCTTATAAGTATTTATTTATTTTTGCATAAGCTTTTACATTTACAATCAAAAGAGCCTTGATAAAATAGTGACTTATAATTTACTAAGCACCCTCAGGTATATTACCTCATTTGGGACTTAGAATACCCTATGGTAATAAAGAGGCCAGTTACTTCCATTGTTTTACAGCTTAAGAATTAGTAGGGACTAAATGGTGATACAGTGGTAAAACATGATACTCTGTGAGGATGACCCACATGGGAAGGTTCTGGGTTCGTGTCCAAAAGCCACACTGAATATGCCAGGCATGCTCATTCCCATAATCTGCGGATAGCTGAGGCTGGGGTGATGATGGCATCAAGACTCTGATGGGGATGCTACCTCTTTCTCACATTCAAAGAGGAAATAAACTTAAAAAATGAAGACATATAGGCCCTTGCACATTGGCAGTCAGTCACTATCTTGAAAGGACTTCAGGCTATCTAGGAGAGAGAGAAGAACCCAAGAAGAGGCCTTACAAAGACACATGAAGAGAGGCCACAGGAAGAAAACTCAGGTGACCAAAGCAAACTCTCAGGTAGGTGCTGCTGCACGATGGCACAGCCCATGGAAGAGAAGAGCAGAACACTCCCTAAAACTGTGAAATATAACACACTACTGCCGTGTTAGGACACTGACTTTTGGAATGGCTTGTGACACAACAGATAAGTGAACCAGATGTTAGGTAACTTCTCTATCTCAAAGCTAATAAACAAAGCTTGAATCTGGGGCTCCTGACTGATTTCAGTGATTTATTCACTGCTCCAAGATATGACTGAAATTGAAGAAAAATAACTTAAAAGTTTCATACATGTCATTTAAATACCAGAAAATGAATTTTAGCTTAGAACATCCAGCTGTGAAATTATCCTGTCAGCATGTAAATGAATGAAAAATATATGTATGTAAATGTGGACAGGTAGGAGAGTACTATTAAAATACTTAGCATGATTACACAATGACTAAATGCTTTTCTCCTTTGGAGTGAAAAATTTTTTAAAAAATCTACCAAAGATAGCATATACAATGATGTTCATAGCAATATTATTTATAACAAAAAAAAAAAAAAAAGGAAACTCAATGACAGGAAAAAGAACAACCCATGTATATTTATACAATAGTAAAAATAAGTAACTATAGCCTCACACAAGGGTAAATCTCAAAAATATAACTAATAAAGAGAAATGAAAAAAACACAAACAGCTTAATACCACTTATATAAAATCCTCAAAATACAAACCTTAGTAATATATTGTTTAGGAATACATATGTAATACAGGCAATAATAAAAATCAAGGGAGGGGCCAGCAAGTAGAATGGTAGTTAGGGTGCTAGACTCCCAAATACCTACCTGTGATTCAAGTCCCAGACCTGGTGGCTTGCTTTCTCACTTTCTCTCTCACTCTCTTTCTAGTGAGCACACATGCCCTATAGCAAAATTCTAAGATAATAATAAATAAAATTAAATCAATAATAATTCTTTTAAAATTCAAGGGAATGCTAAGTATAAAGTTCAAAATAGTAAGTTCCCTTAAAGGGAAGGAAACAGGTTACACAAAAAAATGTTAGAGAAGGCTCCAATGATATTAGTCATGTTTTGTTTTCTACCTATACCACATGTCTGTAATAAAAAAGCTTTTGTATTTATAAAATATTTATAAAATATTTCATCATAAAACCACATTTTGAAAAATAACCAAAGAGAGCCAGTAAATGGCATGGAGGTTAAGGCACCTTGATCCCACATGGCTGACAGCACGGCTCAAGTTCCAGACCCAGTGACTTGAAAATCACACTGGGCGTGAGTGCATGCATGCCCAAAGTCCCCAGAGGAGAATGCAGAAGAGACTACAGCATACCTATGCCCCCTAAGGGACAACTTCTCATTCTCTCTCTCTCTCACTCTTTCTCTCTCTCTTATCTCTCTCCAGCAAGCACACATGCCAGATAGTAAACTTAAAAAAAAAAAAAAATCAACAAAGGAAAATTAGATTGTCTCTGACAACTGTGCTTTCTAATACACAAAAATCAACCTAGCTCCCAAAAACTCAATGTTACTTTGAAGGAATAAGAAAGAGCATGCTACAGAGATAAGAATACTCCCAATTACATGGCAATAATGGCAAAGCCTCCTATAGTTCATAAATCATAATAAAAATGATACTGAGGGGAAAATAGGTATTCAAATACAGTACTTAAAATACTTCACTTAATTCTTTTCAGTTAGTTTTTTGGGCCCCACCTGTAAAATACTTGTTATATTTTCCCACCAACAAAATTATCTCTGAACCCAGAACAGAGATGCCTGTCCTTCTCTGCAGGGGCCTGGTAAATTAACCTAGACTTTCCATCAGTTTGCCTGCTCTGAACAGAGGTGCCTGAAAGTACTACACCAGCATATAAAAGACCTGTACTCTTCCCTGGACAGAATTAGTCAGTCACAAATGGACAACTGACCAAGAGCCAACCAGTCATGGTCTGCCACCTGCCTACCTCTTCAGTTTTATCCCTTCTATTCTCTCCTTTGAAATTAATGCACTTACTACTACATCTTTCCTGCACAGTACCTACTACTAGTACCAAATAATTATATGTTTACTTCAGTGATTACTCACAGATGTCTGTCCTTCCTCCTGAACTATAAATGCATTCGTTTTTGTTCACTATTGTATTCTACCAACTAGCATGATTTCTGACACACAGGAGGCATTCAATTAGTATTTATTTTTAGTAAAAAGAAGAAAAAATTGCAATATTATGCATTTTCTTTAAAGCTTTTTTTTTGGAGAGGTTTTTGCTACAGGGTATGTACACTCGCCAGAAAGACAGAGAGAGATAGAGAAACAGAAAGCGAGAAATCACCCCGCAGGGGGATGGCCACACCACAATCCCTTTTCCTCCATTCTCCTCTCGGGATCTTGGGCATACACGCACATGCGCCTAGCGGGTGTTTAAGCCACTGGGCCCAGGACTCAAACCACTGTTGACTACATGGGAGTCCAGCAACATAGCCATTATGGCAACGGCTGATCCCTAAAGCTTCATTTTTAGTTTATAAAACACATATAAAAATATGATAAGGCCAGCAGGTCGCATGGTGGTTAAGGACGCTGAACTCCCACATGGTCAGCCATGGTTCGAGTCCCAGATCCAGCAGCTTGCTTTATTACTCCCTCTCCCCATCTCTTGCTCTGTCCTCTCTGGTCAAATTAAAATAAATAAATATATATTTTTTAAAATATAATAAAAAAATAATTTTGAGCAGACTCAAAATTAAGAAAAAAGGAATCAAAGCCATAAAAGAATCTACATGTATCCTGAAAGAAGAAAACATCACACAATGGCACATTAAATTTGACAAGTTTAAAGAATTTATAGAAACTTACCTGAATGAAGTTGAATTTTCCCAATAACACCTTCTACCAAGCCCAAACAAATGGGATTCCAGGCAAGAAGAAGATCAGTAGCTAAAATAAAGTGAGAAGTAGACATGAGAAAACAAAGACCAAAAAGTACTGAAATAGTATATGTAAAGGTGTATTTTAAAATGATTAATGCGCTCCCTGCTCTTCCCTCCCCTCCCTGCCAAAAGCAGTTATGAACATCTGAAACTGAGCACATTATCATAAAACAATTTGTGATAAAACATTAAATTACAGGCCTCAGTAAGACTTATTCAGATGCAGGGAGAGAACTGATGTTGAGAGTCCCTGTTCAGGTAGGAAGCAGTACCCTGGCGCCCTGCAGTGGAGAAACAAGGCTGGTACACTCCGAGAAGGCCAATAGGGGGAACTGCTGCAGACCTGTGGCAGTCAGCCCCTGCTCCAAAGACAAGGCCTGAGAAATCACATCGGAGCTGTCGCTTTCTCTATAATACCCGGGGAAATATCTTCCCAAAGATGTTTCCACCAAGCAAAGAAATCCAGAAAGCACTCTTTTATATAACTTTTGGGCCAAAACCATCAGGAATTGCTTCCGTTTACTGAGTGCCTACTCTGAGCCACAGAAAAATGATGGAGTGATTGTTTTCTCACTTCCTACATGTGAAATGAGATAGCACAAAACTGGTATCCTCCTAGAAGTGCAGAAGAAAAGCAAATTCATTACAAATAGTAAATACCTAAGGACAACAGGTCTTAGTTCTCTTGCAGAACCCAGGTTGCAAGACTGTTATATATATGATGATAAATGTAACATTAGTGCTAGCTCAACAGCTGTAAAGGATTAACAAGAATGAAAACAATATTTCTCTTGGAAGAATATTAAATTTACATTTTAATTGTTTCCATTCTATTTTAGTGAAACATACTCAATATGTAACTCACAGAATAATTACACACTTAATAGTTTTGTCTCAAAATTCACTTGAATTTTTTTTTTTTTGAGAGGTTTTGGCTATAGGGCATGTGCGCTTGCCAGAGAGACAGAAAGTGAGAAATCATCTCCCAGACATGAAAGTGAGAAATCACCTCCCAGAGAGGATGGCCACACCGCAATCCCTTCTCCTCTTGGGATCTTGGGCACACACACACATGTGCCTGGTGTGAGTTTAAGCCACCGGGTTCGGGAGTCAAACCGTGGTCAACTACATGGGAGTCCAGCAACATAGCCATTATGCCAACTGCTGGTGCCAAAATTCACTCGAATTTTGACTGTGGTATCTTGAACGTCTGTTATGGTATATTTGATGGGAGGTAAAAAAATTTGATGGGAGGGAAAAAAATTTCCTTTTTTTTTTTTTTTTTTTTTTTTTTTAAAGAATTAAAGTAAAATAAGAAATTTATTTTTGGGGCCCAGCAGGTAGTGTAGTGGTTAAGGTGCTGGACTCCCACATGCTGAGTCCCAGACCTGGTGGCTTAAAACTCAGGCTAGGCACGTGTGCACGTGTACCCCAAATCCCAAGACGAGAATAAAGGAGTAAGGATTATGGCATGGCCATTCCCCGGGGCAATTTCTCACTTTCTCTATTTCTCTGTCTCTCCAGCACACCCTAGAGCAAAAATTTCTCCAAAAAAAAAGAAAAAAAAAAGAGAGAGAGAGAGAGAGAAAGAAAGAAATCTATTAAAAAAATGATTCTATATATATTATTATTTATAAACTTGACAATTCTATGAATTAGGTATCAGGAGTCTATTTTACAGATAAGCTAATGGATGCTTAGAAAGTAACATGACCGAGCCAGATTCTGGTGGCCGACTGCTCAGTTCGAGCCCCCGAGTTGACCTGGTGACTTGAAAAACACACCAGGCATGTGTGTGCATACACAAAATCCTGAGAGGAGGGAGAAGTGGAAGAGAAGAGGTTGTAGCAAAACCATCACCCATGGAGGGAGTGCTTTCTCACTTTGCTTCCTACCTCCTTACCCTTATGAACACACATGCCCTTGGGGAAAAACTAAGGAAAAAAAAAGTGGTACCAGCAGATGGTGTAATGATTATGTCACTGGACTCCTACATAGTCAACTGCAGTTTGAGTCCTAGACCCGGAGACTTAAAACTCACACTGTGTGTGTGTGTGTGTGTGTGTGTGTATGTGTGTGCATGTGCGCCCAAGAGGAGAATGGAGGAGAAGAGATTATGGCAAGAACATCCCCCCGAGGGGGTGATTTTTTGCTTTCTGTCTTTCTTTCTCTTTTAGTCTCTCTGAGGAGCGCACATGCTCTATAGAAAAAATTAAGAAAAACAAAATTAAGGAAAAAAAGTAACATGGCCGAGTCACACAATAGATCAAGGCTGCAATCAAAAGCCAGGCCTAGCCTGATTCATGGCCTAAGCTCTAATCCATCCCGCTTCCATGCCTCCTATATGGAACTAATCAGTAAGGCAATAATTTTTAAATAACATGATTATAATAAAAGTAATACTATTGAATCGTCGGAAAAATTGTGATGCTTTTTGCATAGAAAAATACAGAAAAATATGTCATGACTTTTCTAATGACCCAATGTAAAGTTGGGGAAAAATTTTCACCCCATCCTACCACCCAAAGATAACTTATTATTTTACTACATTTCTGGTCATGTATTTGCATGCATACCAAATTGCAGTACTGTATATACAGCACTACATATTATTTTCTTACATTTCACGAGTATTTTCTCATGTCTTTAAATATTCTTCAAAATTATAATTTCATGATAGCCTAATTTTCCACTTACAGAAGTACTTCCTTACTCTTGATCATTTAAATGATTTCTAGGCTGGCTGTTTGGCACAGCGGTGATGTACCACTCAGGAGAAGCTGGATCCTACATGACAATCAGGGTCCAGTCCCCAGCTGGCCTGAATCATACCAGTCATGCACACAGTGCCCAAGATCCAACTGACTGGAAGAACAAAATGTTGGTGTGAACAGTCCCACTGAAGGGCCACCTCCTTTTTTTTCTTCGAGTTTTTCTAGAGGGCATGTGCATTCACCAGAAAGCAAGAAAAAGAAGGAAAATGAGAAAGCAACCCCCATGGAGATGGTCACATAGCAATCCCCTTCATTTCTCCACCCTTTCGAGATTTGGGGGATGTATGCAGACACACTCAGTGTGTTTTTCAAGCTGCCAGGTCTGGGAATAGAACCGCAAAGTCAGCTATGTGAGATCTGGATGTCTTTACCAATCATCATGTCATGGGCTGGCCCTCATTCATTCATTCATTTGCCAGAAGGCATGTGCACTAGCCAGAGAAAAAGAGAGAGAAAGAGAGAAAGAAAGCACCCCTGTGGGAGTGCAATCACACCACAACCTTTCCTCCATTTCTCCATCTAGTCAGGTTTGGGGACACATACACACATGCACCTAGTATGTTTTTTTAAGCAGCTAGGGCCAGGATACATGTCCATGTAGGATCCAGCTTCAGATGCATTGCACTTAGTCACGGCACTCTAGGGCTGGCCTCTCTCTCATATGTGTGCTCTATCACGAATAAAAAATGTTTAGGGCCAACCAGGTGGAGTGGTGACTGGATCCCACATGGAAGAATTAAAGTAAAATAAGAAATTTATTTTTGGGGCCCAGCAGGTAGTGTAGTGGTTAAGGTGCTGGACTCCCACATGCTGAGTCCCAGACCTGGTGGCTTAAAACTCAGGCTAGGCACGTGTGCATGTGTACCCCAAATCCCAAGACGAGAATAAAGGAGTAAGGATTATGGCATGGCCATTCCCCGGGGCAATTTCTCACTTTCTCTATTTCTCTGTCTCTCCAGCACACCCTAGAGCAAAAATTTCTCCAAAAAAAAAGAAAAAAAAAAGAGAGAGAGAGAGAGAGAAAGAAAGAAATCTATTAAAAAAATGATTCTATATATATTATTATTTATAAACTTGACAATTCTACGAATTAGGTATCAGGAGTCTATTTTACAGATAAGCTAATGGATGCTTAGAAAGTAACATGACTGAGCCAGATTCTGGTGGCCGACTGCTCAGTTCGAGCCCCCGAGTTGACCTGGTGACTTGAAAAACACACCAGGCATGTGTGTGCATACACAAAATCCTGAGAGGAGGGAGAAGTGGAAGAGAAGAGGTTGTAGCAAAACCATCACCCATGGAGGGAGTGCTTTCTCACTTTGCTTCCTACCTCCTTACCCTTATGAACACACATGCCCTTGGGGAAAAACTAAGGAAAAAAAAAGTGGTACCAGCAGATGGTGTAATGATTATGTCACTGGACTCCTACATAGTCAACTGCAGTTTGAGTCCTAGACCCGGAGACTTAAAACTCACACTGTGTGTGTGTGTGTGTGTGTGTGTGTATGTGTGTGCATGTGCGCCCAAGAGGAGAATGGAGGAGAAGAGATTATGGCAAGAACATCCCCCCGAGGGGGTGATTTTTTGCTTTCTGTCTTTCTTTCTCTTTTAGTCTCTCTGAGGAGCGCACATGCTCTATAGAAAAAATTAAGAAAAACAAAATTAAGGAAAAAAAGTAACATGGCCGAGTCACACAATAGATCAAGGCTGCAATCAAAAGCCAGGCCTAGCCTGATTCATGGCCTAAGCTCTAATCCATCCCGCTTCCATGCCTCCTATATGGAACTAATCAGTAAGGCAATAATTTTTAAATAACATGATTATAATAAAAGTAATACTATTGAATCGTCGGAAAAATTGTGATGCTTTTTGCATAGAAAAATACAGAAAAATATGTCATGACTTTTCTAATGACCCAATGTAAAGTTGGGGAAAAATTATCACCCCATCCTACCACCCAAAGATAACTTATTATTTTACTACATTTCTGGTCATGTATTTGCATGCATACCAAATTGCAGTACTGTATATACAGCACTACATATTATTTTCTTACATTTCACGAGTATTTTCTCATGTCTTTAAATATTCTTCAAAATTATAATTTCATGATAGCCTAATTTTCCACTTACAGAAGTACTTCCTTACTCTTGATCATTTAAATGATTTCTAGGCTGGCTGTTTGGCACAGCGGTGATGTACCACTCAGGAGAAGCTGGATCCTACATGACAA